ATAATATATTTTATTTATTTATGTTTTGGTAAATGTTTTACGGCGCACACAAACGCATAAGATCATATGAGCGCACGGGACACTTTAAGCATTTTCAGTTGGTAGGAAATTTTAAATTTTACGCGGGTTGCGGACGAAGCCTACTCTTATCGATTTTCGACCACCAAGGGTTCTTTAACGTGCGCAACTTGCTCTCGGGTCCTACGAGATTTTCGCCCTTGTCCGAGAAGGCTAAGTTTAGATCTTTTCTACCATAAGATCAGGGGTGAGGCTGAAAAACAGCAGTAAGAAGGAGCCAAAGAGAAGCAGTGGAAGGGCTGCGGCGCTGAAAGAGTCAGGAGCCCAGAGAAGAGGGCAAAGGAGGTGAGGGGGCGGGGGCAGAAAGGGGAGGCGAAGGCAGACGTCAGAACATTGCTAGAGAGCAGGAAAGGATATAGAAGGAGAAAATTTGGAGAAGAAAATGTTCCGTCGCCATTCGGATTCGAATCCACGACCTATTGAATGAGAGGCGAATCCCTTAACCTCTAGGCCACGAGAGCCCCTGTGTAATGGTAAGGCCGTTTATCATTGAAAGAAAAGGGCGGGAGTTCGGTCCGGAGGTCTTTTTTTTTTCATTAATGACCTCCGCCAATCTGCTCGGATACTGTATTCCAGTCAGCCCGTATGGCCCTGACAGGCAGGGGCGAAGCAGCCGGCTTCCATAGTTACCTTATAATGTCTAAGGGGGCGTAAAATTTACAACCAGTTAATTCCGCCTCCCTGCTCACCGCTCCACCCGGCATACGTTTCTGAAACATAAAACATGGACGAAGTCATTACCGAAAACATGCGCGGAAGTTAAACACAAAATGAGTTACATACCTACATGTAGACAGAGATAGGATACTTTTTACACGGGTAGTCTATACGTGCGCGTACCAACAAAGGCGCACCCATGGTCCCAACATGTACGCAGGAAACAAGCAAGAACTGTGAACAAGTAAATGATGGACAAAAACATGTTACAGAACTTGACTAAAGGGCTCAGGTGCATGATGAGTTGTTTTTTTCATGGCAACAAAGACGATGGGTGAAGGAGATCAGGTTTTGTCTTGTTTTGTTTTGTTTTGTTTGTTTCTTTGTTTGTTTTTTTTTTAGGTAGGTTTCCTTTTTTTTTATACGTGATTTACGGCGCTTGCAACTGCATAAGATCACATGAGCGTACAGGACACATTGCGTATAATCAGTTTGTTAAGAATTAATGTTGAATTTTGCCCGGGTGGCGACTGAAGCCTACTCTTTTCGGTTTTAGTACCACCAAGGGCCCTTGAACATGTGCAACCTGGACACGGGACCTCCGAGATTTCTTGCCCTTATCTGAGAAGGCTAGGCGCTAGAATTTACCTACCCTAAGATCAGTAGTGTGGCTGAAAGACAGAAGTAAGAAGGGCTCAAGGATTAGAAGTTGAAAGGCAGCAGAAGGAGTCGGGAGCCCAGACGATGGTCAAGGGGGGGGGAGACGGCAGAAAATGGATAGAAAGCATGAAAGGGGGTGAAACGAGAAGTTTTAGAGAAGTAAATTTTCCTTTGCTGTCAGGTGCGAACACCGTAG